CTTCTTCTTTTTCTTCTTCTCCTTCTTCTCCTTCTTCTTCTTCTTCTTCTTCTTCTTCTTCTTCTTCTTCTTCTTCTTCTTCTTCTTCTTCTTCTTCTTCTTCTTCTTCTTCTTCTTCTTCTTCTTCTTCTTCTTCTAAAGGCTAAAGAGAGGAGTTAGAAGAATATTCAAGGTTAAGAGGATTTTCACAAAAATCTGAGGAGTGTATTCTAGTTCTCCCGCTGGTTTTGTACAACTAAAATATACACCGAGAATGTTATTGGTTTGAACGAACTGAATCGTAAATTCGTCTATAATTACGGCTTGGCCATTTGTTCACTTATTTATCTAAATTTAGATGCAGATCTGAAATGACAAAAAAAATTATTTAGAATGGACATAGCTCTTCTGAAATCAATGGCATTTATCAGGAATAATGTTGTACCATCTGCATGTAACTGGCCTGTTATTTTGTATATTACTTTTTCTTTTTTTTTTCTTTTTCTTTTTTATTTATCCATTTTATTTTAACTTATTATTATTTTTTAACGTGGGGTTATGGGGGGGGGGGGGTAATGGCAAAGTTAATACCGGTTTTGGCTTTATGGATGCTAACTGTATTCTCCTCAGGGACCCCGGGGTTATGGAAAATTTCTGCCATCCTTCAACCTCAAGTTGGAGCGTGCGTCTTTTCCACGATAAAATCCCCGGACTTATTATGACAATTCCATCAGAGGGAAAACTGTCCAGCACACCTCCCGCTATATATATATATATATATATATATATATAGAGAGAGAGAGAGAGAGAGAGAGAGAGAGAGAGAGAGAGAGAGAGAGAGAGAGAGAGAGAGAGAGAGAGAGAGAGAGAGAGAGAGAGAGAGAGAGAGAGAGAGAGAGAGAGAGCCGACAGGTAAATTTTACAGAAGATACAAAAACAAGTTTACTTATAGGGCTCATTTTACGGGATGATCTTTTTGTGCCAGGGCAAAGCTTTCGCATCACTCTAAATAATGCCACCTTGTGTTAGAGACATTTCCTTTCCCTTTAAGCGAATTTTTTTTGGGTTGAGAAATGTAGTGTTTATATGATTATATATATCTATATATATATTTATAAGGTAAGCCAGATTTCTACGTTAATTTTGTATTGCTTTAGTCGTTGTTGAGTTTTGGGGGGGTTTTTTGTGCATATTTCTGGGTCTTCTTTGTCATATGAAATATAGAACTTTATAGAAGTAAGAACAGTGTTACTAATACCAGGAGTAATCAATCGTTCTACAAGTGTTCATCCCACAGATGTTTAAAGAAACTATTTTAAAATCTGACGAGTATTTTGTGAAAGTGCAGGTTAGAAAAGATGGGGGAAAGAATTAGTTACTGCACATAGAGTGACACCTGTCTTATTTAAAGTTTTAAACTGTTTCATTTGTTCATATTATAACAATCACCAGATACACCACAAAACCAGGTCCATCCAACGGACTCATCTTGGAACTAAATGTGCAGCAGTCAGAATACCTATCCGCTACAGAGAGTGCGGGCTTCAAAATCGCCGTTCGCCCACGAGACACCCTAGCCTTTCCCGAGGACCAGGGCCTCATAGTGATGCCAGGAACCAACACCAACATCGGCCTCAAGAAGGTTAGTTTGGTTCTCAATCAAGTTCAAAACTTTAAGATGAGATACGGTAAAATAATACTTTATTATCCCAGAGGGAAATTTTTCTTGGCTGTACGGGACCGTAAAAACACATGCAGATATACAAAAAATTTAAAATTATATATTATTTATATTAAAATTCATTGTGAAAACAAAAGTGAAGCTGACAAAATGGACATATATCACATCAGGTGCATCACTCAACCACATGCAGGAATTAAACTACAAGACATTTAGAGTTTTATAGATACATACTCGAAAGAGCAACACACATAATCTAACAATAGCCTTATGCTAGACGGTAAAAGATTTCTTTTGTATTTTCCTTTCTTTGCAGAGATCTTACAATTCGCGTGTCTGTAATAGACTTTTAATAGACACAGAAAAATACTCTTCTGAAAGTGGGGCAGTAACGAGCCTTCTTTCAGTATTGCGCAACATGAACAGCGGTTAACACCAATGGAAGCTGCGCAAATTGCATTCCCTTATCTTTTCTGACTCTGAAGATTGTTTTTTAAACGAAATCTTTTACAATTGAAGTTGTCTGTTTACGTTCGTTAACTCTCCTGGACACAATGAAAGAAATCTGTGGTACCAAGAAAACAAGAGGAAAACACAGAAACACACCTGTGGACGAGAGTTAAGATGTTTTAAGAGAAAAGAGATTGTTAATGATGGGTAAGAAAAACC